GAAATGTTATTAGTAAAAAGGGTAAAAAACGATGAGACACTGTTAAAATTACAGTTTTCGTTTTTCATTTTCTCATATTTACGGATAAGCCTATCTACTACCTACGTGTCAGCCTCTTCGGCCTTTCATTTATCCTATATCCTACTAGGGCTTTTTTTTTTTTTTTGATAAAAAAAAAAGGCTTTTCAAGTGTGCATGGTAATGTTGTTGTTAAAGAATGTGATTATTAATTTTTTAATATTAATTAATAATATTAAAAATATAAAAAATATTGTTAATTATCTGAGTAATTCAAAGATTGTTATCTTTTTTTTTTAATAAAAAATCTTAAATTCGAATCATAAAATATGAAATGGAGTGTAATAAGAGGTGAGACGTGAGAGATGACAAGGTAAGAGGTAATTATCTTTCATTATGTAGTGTAATCAAGTTCAAAAAAATAAAATAAAAAATATTATTAACTTTGTTATTAGTGATATATAAAATTATTTTAATTGAGTAATTAATTAAATAAATATTAATTTTTATTTTTTAATATTAATTAATATTAAAAATTTTAAAAATAATATTAATTTTATTATTAACATCTACATAAATTATTTTAATTGAGTAATTAATTAAATCAAATTAATGTTTACACTTTTAATAAAAAAAATCACTACAAGAAATGAGATTTTTAGTGACAAAAAATTACGACAAATGTTGAAATCAATGCTATAACTCTATACATTTGTGATAGAATTTTAAAATTAATCACAAATGCAAGTATATTCAATAATGATAAAAAAAATTATTATTAAAAAAATATTTCATCATTCAAAAATGATCACAAGTAAAAAATAAGTTTATAACAATAAAAATCATCACTATAACTCATCTTGATTAAGATAAATTTCAAATATTGATCACATATACATTACACATTCAACGATAACCAAATAATTCATCACTAAAAATATATTTCGTCACTAAAAATTGTCACAAAAAGAATACATACTTGTGATGATAAAAATCAGCACTATAATTGAACCTTATTTAAGTTTTCTTTAATCAATATATCTTACATCAGTAAAAAAACTCATAAGAGAATAAGGTTTTGCACTATAAATATATCCCACATCGATGAGAAATATTTAAGTAAATAAAGTTTTGCACTGTAAAACATGTGAAATTCAATAAAACTTAATCTTAATTTGGGCATGATTAATTTTAATCGAACTTGATTAATTTTAATCAAAATTGACTAATGTTGAAATAATAATGTTTTTTTATTAAACTTTTGTGATAAATTTATGTAT